GCCCCATCCCATCTGCATTGCTCCCAGAATTTTCCTATTCATTTCTTCTACCCTAAACCTTTGGAGTCACCTCTGTCACACTTGGAGAGCACTACGAGGTTGTCCTGTCCTTCCACGCAATGTTACTTAGCCTCACTAATCAGTCAACACTTTCTGCTTGGTTCAGGTTGTAAATTATCCAAAGTAGAACAAAGTTTCAAATTCTTTGCTATTTTGCGTTGGTGGTATAGTGGCAAGCATAGCTGCCTTCCAAATTCTTTGCTATTTCTCTTTTATTTTCACCCAAGGACCTACTGATACACATTTTCTCAAGGCAAAAGAAATCTATTCAATAGAATTATTATACTAGATCCTATGTTTATTTCAAATAATTTCTTTTGTTGTTTTTCTTTCTCCAAATCCATTTACCAGTCTATCCTTAGACTATGCCTTTCTCATGCAAACATCCTGCAGAGGAAGAAAACGCCACTTAAATTCTAAGTTGTCAGTATGTTCCAGGTAGCAGCCCAATCTTGAAATCCTAAGAGATACAAAATCTTTGAACTTGAGTTCTCAGGAGTTAAGAATAAAGCCCTAATTGATGCAAAACGTACAGGTTCAGGAAATAATCTAGTTCTCAAAGATGGTACTAACTTTAAGCACTTGGTCATTGTTGATAGAAGCAACGAGAAAACACTGCAGGCTTTGTTCCACTAGGTTGGTGACTACTGGGGAGAAGGCAAGTGTCCTGCAGCCAAAAGACAATGGAATGAGGGTCCTAAGGACTCATTAAAGGGAGGAGCACGTGCTCAGGGTAACAGGTGCCCGGGACAAGCTGCGTCCTCCAGCAGGTTGGACTCTCCTGCGATCCAGGCAGGTAAGGTCACTAAAGGAGCAGAACGACTTCTCCCGCAGATGGGACATGGGTCTTTTCAGTCAGCACTCTGGGATCCTCTGGGAATCTTGTTAAAATGCAGATCTGCGGGGCACCCGGGTTAAGCCTCTGCCTTCAGCTCAGATCATGATCTCAGGGTCCTGGATTGAGCCCCACATCGGGGGTCGCTGCTCAGTGGGGAGCCTGCTTCCTCCCTCTCTGCCTGCCTCTCTGCCTACTTGTGATCTCTGTCAAATAAATAAATAAAATCTTAAAAAAAATGCAGATCTGGGATCCAGGATGGGGGTTGAAACTCCATTATCCCTGTCAGGATCCCAGGTGAGGCTGATGGACGGTGGGCCTCCTGTTGAGCTATAAGGCCCGTGGTCATCCAGTTCCTCTCTCTTGCAGAGAAGGGGAGGACAGGAGTAGAAAGACCCAATGTATAGGCAGAGGAAGGCAGATAAATATAAAAGAAAGCAGAGGATCATAATGAGAGATGAAGTATAGGAGATTTGAAAATACGGCCCTCCCAGCATCCCTCCCTTCTTAGTCCACAGCAGCCCTTTAGGGTGGCTGCAAGGCCTTTACATGGCTCTACCCACAGCCCAGGCTGCAGGACCCTCGGTGCCTAGCATGGGGCAGGTGGGAGCACCCGGTGGCAAACGACTACAGATGGGAGTTCTCAGATGGCCCCTCCACTGGAGCCAGACAAGTCCGAGCGCTTCCCTGGGCTTCCGAACCCATCCATCTGCACCAGGAAAAACATGCCAGTAGCTGACCCAGGGAAGGCGGGGGGCAGGCCTCTCTCTTGGGTTCAGCTGAGCCCAAGACCACCTGAATCTTCCTCTTCACAGTGGTCGGACTCCTAAATCACTTAGACTGATTCAAATCTCAAGGCTGGTGCAGTCCCAAGACCCTAATAATGTGAGCGGCTCACTGTGCCTAATGTTTGTGCGAACAACTCATTTACACTCAATACCCATCGTCCTGGTCGGGTCCTGCAAGGAGGGAGCCTGTGTGACCGGCCTCCGATAAATGCCCAGGATGCTGAGTCTCTAATGAGCTTCTGTGGTGGACCACACTTGGCGAGGACAGTTCTCACTTGTTCTGGAGGGAACTCAGCACGTTCCGTACATCTCCGCTTGGAGAGGACCCCTGGAGGCTTATGCCTGGTTTCCTGCGGACTTCATCCCATTGACCTTTTTCCTTTACTCCTTCCGCTTTGTACTCTGGACACATCATAGTTTTATGACTACGCATCGGTCCTGCGAGTCCCACCAGTGAATCACAGGACCTGAGGAGGATCCTGGGGATCTCCAGACTCCCAGGAGGGGAAAAAATACAGCCCGGCCAACAGCTTACCCAGAGGACCCAGCCAGGTGCACCAGACTTCAGACCTACAGAAACCGTGACCTAACAGCTCTGTCTCGTAAAGCGCCTGGTCGCTTTTTACATGAGTAGCACAAAACCAGGAAAATGACAGTATCTCTTCTGCTAATAAAGAGGGTAAATATCTCAAGGAAAGTTTTTAGAATCTTAATTCACTCTGAAATTGATGTCAGGGAAGCATAGATTAAAAACCAGCACCTGAAGAGTGGGAAGGGCCTCTGGGAAGGTACGTGCTTTAGGGTGAAGAGCAGGTCCTCTGTGTGAGAGGGGCCAGAGAGCAGCCAAATCAGCCCGATCGTTTTCAAGAGACTGTGGGTAGAATCTTAATTATCAGCTCGTGGGACTTACTGTGGCCAGAGCCGGCCATGTATGCAGCCTGGGGCGGAGACAGCACCCTGTGCGCTGTGGGGATGGCTAAAGGACATGCCAGGAGGAGCACCTTTCCTAGAGGAGACCAAAATGCAGAAGGAATTCATGCCCTGGAGGAGCTTCAAGAAGCCCTGAGCCAAGACAAGGACCTCAAAGGGGGCAGAGCAGGGAGCTCAGGAGAAGCGTCCCACCTCAAGGGAAGGTAGATTCCACTCCTGCACTCATCCAGCAAACATTTACCAAGGTGGGTCTCTGTGAGCGAGCTCCCCGGTTGTGGGAGGGAGGCCACCACACCAGTCGTGACCATGCGACGGCCAGTGGGACCGAGGAGTCCAAGCATCCGTCCTCAGCTGTGTGGTCTGGGGTCAGGAACACCACTATCCTTGGCCCTTACTCCCCTGGGCTCCTTGAAACAAGGTGCCACATGGTGATGCTTGGGTTTGGGTCCCCCCAAAACCACTTAGCTAAAAAACAGGAATGGTCACAATGTCACATCCGTGTATTGGGGTGGGATGGGGGTAAAAATATGAACCTTGGTTAATACAACTAAGAATAAGCACGCATTAGTGATCCATTACCTGATTTTGAAAAGCAAGATTTAATTTGGAACAAAAGCTTTCTATATAGATAAATGCTTCCTTAACTTTTAACTGTTATTCATTCTTAATTAATGTTGGTCTTAACCCTGGTTTGGACCTGGAGTGCCTAGAATTAGCTCAATGTTGAGAAGCACTTCCGGTCACACACTTGGCAACTGCCTGTTTGGGGGTATTAAAGTCAGCCGGTCCCTAAACACTAATTCTCGCCCATTTTGTTCTTTTACCCAGTGTTAGACAACTGACTAGTTCTTCCTAATTCAATTTAAATCAACATCTATCAATGAACTAGAAAGAGGTCCAGAGATAAAAAATTAAATGGGCCATGATCTATGAAGTTATACTAAGTAACAGAGCTCTGAGGGAGTTCAAGTGAGGCCAGTTCATTACCCAACCCAACGAGTATTATCATTTTGTCTCTTGTTAGTGTTACAGATAAGCTAACGAGCTACCAGCTAACAAGTAACGGCTTTTTCGCTGATACTTCCCCTCTTTCCATGACAAGACAATTTTTTAAGACTTACCTAAATATCCTTACCCAAATTACATGGAACCTAAACTGTATATTTTTTTATTGTGGGTAAATTGTCCTAATATAAAATTCACCTCTATGGCCACTTGTAAGCGTGCCATTGTGTACCACTGACAATCACACGGCCGGGCAACCGTCACCGTCATGCACCCCCAGAACTTTCTCATCTTCTAAACTGAAGCTGTCGCCATTAAACAGTAATTCTCCATTCCTCCCTTCCCCTAGCCCCTGGCAACCATCTAAAGTGTATTTTTTTAAAGATTTATTTATTCATGAGACAGGGTGCTTGGGAACAGGGAAGAGGGGAGAGCAGAAGGAGAGGGAGAGAAAGAATCTCAAGCAGACCGCCCACTGAGTGCAGAACCAACAGAGAGCTCAATCCCAGGACCCTGAGATCACAACCTGAGCCAAAATCAAGAGCTCAACCAACTGAGCCACCCAGGCGCCCCAAGTGTATTTTTAATAATAAGAAGAAAGTAATTCCTTCTCCACCTGAGAAATCTTCTTGAGGCCACAGCCCTGCCCCTGTTGCCCCAACGGCCAACAGCAACGCAGCAGACGCTTGCCCCACTCTATCTTCAGAGCTCCTCCCTCAGGGCACCCTATGATCTGAAGACTCAAAACTCTGCATATCTGATAAAGTCCATATGTCTTAATATTCAGAAAGTCAGGCGAGCGAAATTTAATTCTTCTCAAAGAAGCGCGGGTATGGAATCAGAAGCAGAAAGCACGTCCCTGGTGTAAGAGAGTTTAAGTCATTGTGACGCCAAAGAGTCCCTGATATCTAGACCCATGAAGGACAAGGGACCACACAAGTGCCCAGGCTCCTGCTGGAGCCAGACGTGTGTCCCTCAACATGCCGTCGTCCAAACGGAGACTGCCCGTGACGTGTGTGTCAGTCTGGAGACTTTCAGAAATCTCACTTAACCGGAGGACTCGGAAGAATGGGTTTACTCGGCTGAACAACTGACACCAGCTCCCGGGCTCTGGGAGGGAAACTACACTGGCTGCATGCGACCTCACCCCTCCGATCGCACACTACGTCCAGGCACAGCGGGGAGACGTCAGTGTTTCACTGCAGCACAGCGCTGTTGGACTTAGCGCATAGATCACACAGGGCCACGCGCATCTTACATTCACTTGAAAGCGCGCTCAGCCACTCTGGGGGGCTCCGTGTCTGTGCTCAGTCGACAGACCCGCAGCAACAGGCAGTGACCGGTACAACTCACACCGAGACGGCTCTCAGGAAGGGACATACCGAGACGCTTTCTTCTCGCCGGTACTGCTTCCAGTTCCTCCCGCCGTCACTGAACATGAGGACGTAGCTGCTCACCCAGTCGGAGCTCCCGTACCCTCCCTGCGTGGCCACAGCTGTGACCTCCATTCTCTCTCCAAGGTCGACCTGCAGCCACTGGTGTTTATTTGACACAAGTGGAGACCAGCCACCGGCCCCTTGAGGGAAACAGAAGCGGGAGAAGACAGTAAAGGGAGAGGAATCGTTAAGACCTGCATTATCCTGTGAAGAAAGAGATCATAAATAAAACTTCCAAAAATCAGAGTTCCAAATTCTGGAATGTATAACCCCCCATGATCACACACACAGACACACATGCGCTCAGAACCACGGGTCAAGTAAACAGATGAATCCTACATTCCTCATGAGTTGCTCTGGTTTCTCGGCCATAACCCTGACTCTTGGGTGTCCAACGGTCCCAGGCAACAGGTGGCCGACCAAACACCAGGTCACCGCATCAGTGTTTGAGACTAGTGTCTCCACCGGCCTGTATGTATGACATGCCTTTGGCTGGATCTGAAGGAATACATGCAGACCATAGTAGAAATAGAAAAGCTTAATTCTGGAATCCCAGCATGAGGAAGTACCGTACTGAATGATGGGGTAGGAAGGGTGGTGATGGCAAACCCTACACTTGATACGCTTACAGGTTTATGCGAGAAAAAGGCATTTCGAAGAACCATCTGAAACACAGAGCAGCAGGGGTGAACGTGAAGGTTTTCCTGCGCAGGGAGGGAGAGCCTGAGGGGCAGCGGGGAGCTTGAGGGAGAACACAGAGCGGGCGAATAACAAGGATGTTCTAGGTTTTCGAGACAACGGGTGCAGAGCAGAAATCACAAGGCTTTGTCTTGTCCAGTGAGAAACAGATGAGACACAGACTCAGAGGAGGCTCCCGGAGGCTGTGTTGGGACATAGTTTGTTCTTCCAGGTCCCAGAAACGTGGGTTTTGAATGTGGAGTTAGACATCACGTTGAAGTTTCTGGTTTTAAATTAATAAGCAATTAAAAAACTGGAAAATAAGCTTGAAGCACATTCTGGAACCAATATTTTGCCAATTATCTGTGTCCAGAAAACATGAGTCATGGAAGTCGTCTGTAATATGGTAAGAGGAGTTTTGGAAAACAATTTTCTCCACCGTCTGACACCTCACTTGAGGTTCTCATAACGAGGCCTAATGCATTAGACCGCGTTGACCGTCTTCCTGTGAGGGGCTCTTACTGACCCCTGCACTGGGTTTGCTAAGGCCTGTAGGCCTGTGTATCAGGAAGTATGTGACATGGTCCCAGGATGGCTGGGAGGGAAACGGAAGTGGGGCGCTTGCATCAGGATTGGGGGCATCCCCAGGGGGCGGGCACGGACGTCTCTTCACCACGTCCTCCCTTCACCACGTCCCCCCTTCACCGCACGTGTTCAAGCACGGCCTTCCGGAGAACCCAGGTTCTTTCTCATTTCTTTCTACCCAGATTTCCCAGACTGAATCTTTGTTCAAGTATTCCAAATTTTCCTCTCAATGTACTGCAAGCACAATGCCTTTTTCTTTGACCCAGAATCCAAAATGAGCTGCATTTTGGGTTGGTCTGTAATGCATTTTTAACTTTTTATTCCGAAATAACTTCCAATTGCCCAAAGAGCTACAAACGTGGTAGAGGGGATTCTTGTCTCCTTTGTACCTGGTTTCCCCCGAAGTTAACATCTTACGTCGTCATGGGGCTTTTACCACGATGAAGGTATTTACACAGGTACAGTGTTAATGCAAAGACAAACGTTATTCCGATTCCCCAGTGTCCCCACTGACCCCAGTCCTCTGCACCACGAGGCTGTTTACACACCAAGTCTCCTCTGTGTCCTCAGCCCATGCCAGTTCTGCCGCCTTACCTTGCCTCTCGTGACAAGATTGGTTCTGCTGCTTTGTCCAAGGGCCCTGCTCATGGCTGATGACTGGAAGTCCTTCTGTATTCTAGCTGAGAGCCTCTCACAGTCCGAGGGACATTCCTTGGCAGGCGGGCGTGATTTTTATAATTAAAAATAACCAAAAATAACCTTAAAAATTAGGTGTTGGCATTCAGCAGATCATTTTAACGTGGAGATTCCACATTTGAAATTTCCTACAGATCCGCTTAGATCTCTGAGGGACTACTGTATCCAGGCTCATCCTAGTTCGCAGCAGAGTCCTGTAGAAGGTCCTGATGATACCCTTGCTGGCATTTTGCCATGTTTCCCTGTGAATTTTAACCTCTCTCAAGGCCAGGAAGTATCACCAGCATGGCGTCACCCGTGCGGGGAGGCAAATTCAGTAAACAGATCAGGATGCTGCTGGCATGTTGCCCTGGGGCCAGCCTCTCCCACAGGTGCCGCTGCCTACCTGCCAACCAGCCTCCCCCACCTGCAGGTAACAGACCCCGAACATCTCCTCCTGACCTGCGGTGAGGACGTGCTTCTGGCAAGCATGCCAAGCCATCTGATGAACTTGGGGCGGTGACAGGCATGGAGCGGCAGAATCCCCTAGGCCAGGGGCGGTTCGCTCCAGCAGGCTAACGAGGTCCCCATGCACTCAGATCGCTGCTGGGGGGTCATGCACAGGGGGAGTGTGCATCCCCCGCCTCCGGCACCTGCCTCTCTCCCACCTCCGCCCCTTCCTGAATACCGTGTCACAACTTGTACCAAGGAAAACCTATCTGGGGGCCCCACTTGTGCAGAGCAAACTGCAGGGCCTGGGAGGTCACCCCACCCAGAACATCCTTCTCCCTCCTGGGGGCAGTGTGCTCGCTGTGTGTTGCGGCGCTGAGCGGGTGTGGCAGGAGGATGTGTGCAGCACCCAGTGTCGTCCCTCCCACGGGCGGCCGGGCGCTGGGTGACAGTTGCCGTTATAACGAGCAATCCCCGCTGTGGCTTCCAGGTGCATGAGGGGCCATAGTCCCGGTGCTGAGCTTTCCAGTGACCTTATCACTCAAGGTCTGTTGCCTGCGCTTCTTCCCAAAGGTAAGACGGTGAAGAAAGACAAACTTGTCATGCACGTGTGATGGGCTGAGGATCTCGCCTGGGGCCCCACGTGGAACACCACAAGCCCCACACCCAGTAAGCGGGACCGGCGTGACAGTCCCTGCTCCACTGATAAGGAAGATGCAGCACTTGAGGTTCCTGTGAGGGTGTTGGATGAAAGCTCGGCCCCTTCCACTCTCGACCCCTTGTACGGACATCTCCCCCCAGTTCCTGGGCTATTCAAGATTGTCTGCTGACCACCAGCCAGACTGTATTTAAATCGATCTGTCGGAAGGTTTCTGTCTCTAGTTAATCCTGTGCAACTGCTTCCCCACCCCCTACTCCTCCCCACCCCCCTCCGCTTTGGTGGCTCCGACAGCAGCAGGGACACTTCCTTGGGGAGAGGAAATGTTGGCTAGGAAACTCCCAGCGGGGCCTGAATTACTCCGTCCGCTGATGGCCGTGACTGCTGCCCCTGGTGCAGGTTGTGTTTTTGAGTTGGGATTTTATCTTGCACACCCTTAGACTTGATATCTGGTCAAGGAAGGGCCGCTGGGTCTGCAGTTGTCTTTCTCTTGTCTTTTTGTTGTCTGTTGTGTTGCTTGTTGTGTTTAAAGAAATGGGGCAGGCAGGGAGTAAGGGACCTGTGACACCCCTAAGTCTTGTTCTCCAGTATTTCAAGGATTTTCAAGGTAAAGCCACCCAGTCGGGTGACAAGGTTTACCCGGGAAAACTAAAAACACTCTGCCAGTGAGAGTGGCCCACTGTCTCCACAGAGTGGCCTCTGGAAGGAACGTTTGCCTTGGCTCAAATCTACTTTATCCAGAGTAAGGTCTTCGATCTCCATCGAGACCAAATACCATACATCGTGGCCCTCCTTAGGGTGCGGTGTACACCCTACTTAAACAAGATGACCCCATTTGAAATAATGTTCGGGGAACCCCCCCCACCACCGCTCTACCCTCGGCTACAAAAGGTTGCCCTAGCAGAAATATCTGATCAGTCTGTACTCCAGTCACTACAGTCTGTCTTAAAAAGAGCCCACGCAGGGATCCGGACTGCCCATAGTGAGATGGAGACGGAGATGGATCCACATCCTTACCAACCTGGGGACTTGATTTAAATATGCCACCACCAAGTGGGAAACTTGAAACCTCGCTAAAAGGGACAATTTACTGTCATCCTGACCACCCCCACAGCAGTGAAAGTAGAAGGCATCAGGGCCTGGATTCACACGGATCACGTCAAATGAGCCGAGAACGAGGATGCCCCCCAGAGATGGAAGCCACTGCCGATGGACCCCGCCAATCATGGACTAAAGTTAAGACTCAAAAAACAATGAATTCGTTGAGTTCACTGTTGCTCCTATTGTTACCTGTTTATGTAAAAACTTCTGAGTCACCTCATCAGATGGAAAAGTATAGATAGAAAATTAAACAAATGAAATTAGTAAAAGTGAAAAAAGTTATACAAAGCAGCAAATAGCTAACTCATCAGCTAACTCATCAGCTGACTGTGCAATTTAATGTAACCATATGTCAACTGGCACCCGTAACCCCTGCATCACGTATGCCCCTTATTACATATGTCCTAGTACAGGGGTCTATACAGAATATGGGGGGGGGGCTTCAGACTATTACTGTACACGATGGGGTTGTGAGACAATAGCCTTTGACTGGGAAACAAACCATGATCCCCATATAACTGTAGTACCCACCGGAACAAACAACTATATAACACAAAAAAAAATTCATTGGAAATTTGGCTGCGGGGATCTTCCCCTCAACCGTATCCCGCCAATATGGGAGATTTTGTACAAATATATCTATCACAATCATCAACCCCAAAGACCATCTTTAGGAGTATGGCCGATCTTGGGGCCTCAGATATTATAAAGCTGGTGCAGACAGAGGCAGGCAATTCACCGTCCAAAAAATAAAAATTAGAGAACTACCCCGGTCTATAGGGCCAAACCCAGTTTTAAATCCTCCCAAGCCACTAAAACCAACCAGACCACCAGCCACCCCAACCCCAAAAGAGGCTGTCATAGAGGATAAAAAAAAAAAAATGTTGACCATGACAACAGCACCACCAAAGTTTTACTCCCATTGGTAGATTCAATGTTTAGCTTTTTAAATACTTCAGACCCTAATACTACTCAAGACTATTGGCTGTGCTT